GAAAGACATCTGGGCTGTTTCCATAACTTGGCTATTGTGATTAGCAGAGCATCGAACATGGATGTGCAAGTTCTTTATCCTGATTTGTAATCTTCTGGGTAGATGACCAAGAGTGGTAAGGCTGCATTCTAAGGTAGTTCTATGTTTAGGTTTTTTTTTTTTTTTTGGTGAGAAATCTCCAAACCACCATCCAGAGTGGTTGTGCTAGTTTACATTCCCATCAACAGTGCAATAGGGTTTCTTTTCTCCGACATCCCTGCCAGCATTTGATATTATTGTTCAAATTCTCCATGTTGGCAAATCTAACTGGGGTGAGATGGAACCTCAGTGATACTTTGATTTGCATTTCCTCTGTGGCAGGGATGTTGAGCATTTCTTCATGTATGTATTTGCATTTTCACTTCTTCTGAGAAGTCTCTCTTTAGATCCTTTGTCCACTTATTGATTGGCTTATTAGTTTTTGTTGGGGGTAGTTTCTTGATGTGCTTGTATATTTTGGATATTAGGCCCTTGTCGGATGTATTGCTGGTAAAGATCTTCTTCTAGTCTGTTAGCCATGAGTATCTCTTCCCTCTTTGGTTTGCCAGTTGAATCAAGAATGTCCTACTTTCTTTTTTTATCTCCAAAAAATTGTATGCAGAGGTGTCAGTTTAATCTGTCCATTTATAATACATTTTGATCTGTGTCATCCCATCCAACATGGTCCCCTCATCTGTCCCATCCTGTTCCCACCCATCTCAAGTTTTCCAATTCCATTTTAAAAGTATTGTGTCACATTTCAAGTGTGATCTGTTCATAAGACTGTATATTAGGAAGTGGCGCTGTGGCTCAAGTGGTAGAGCGCTCACCTTGAGCTGAAGAGCTGAGGGATAGCATCCAGGCTCCCAGACTGTATATTAGGGCCTATTATGCACTCTGTGTGTGTGTGTGTGTGTGTGTGTGTGTGTGTGTCTATGACTGGGGTTTGAATTCAGAACCTTGCACTTGCTGGGCAGGTTTTCTACTGCTGAGCTATACCTTTAGCCCTTTTCTTGACTGGTTATGTTTAACTTCGAGTCTTGATCCCTGTTCAGCAAATGCCTAGACTATAAGCTTCTTGTAATGGTGGCATATATCACCATGCCCAGCTTCTTTCATTGAGATGGTGTCCTATGGGTTTTCTGCCTGGGCTGGCCTAGAAGTGAGACCCTCCTGCTTTTTATGTGGCTAGGATGACAGATATGCACCACCACACCAGCCAGGCCTGGGTTTGAACCATGTGCCTGGAGATGACAACATCTGAGGTAGCTAGAATTACAGGTATGACCTACTTGCACCCAGTTATGCACATATTTTATTTGTTTTTTTTTTTTAATTTTTTTTTTTTTT